AAGATAAAAGAGAGAGACACGCAAACTTTAACGAGGTTCGAAGGTGGGGTAATCCTTCTACGTCCTCAAAATCCACTATGTAGTTGGTTGTTGAATAATGAACCAACAATTACACTTGTGTGAATTTCTGCACGGTATATCTTCGCAAGGCCAATGTTGCTACTGCACTCGTGCTGGCTTTGTTGTTCCTTCGAAGGTCACGCTTCTTCAACAACTGCAACGTCCGAACAATAGGACTTGCAATATCAACTTGTAAGAAAGTTGACCTACCCCCTTTTAATCAAGAAGTTTGATCAAAAGTTGTATCCTTCAACGTGGTGTGGTACTTGAGGCAAGGAAACCTTCAAGTGTTTACACTATAGCTCTTTGGAAGGAGGAGGAGTTTGCTTGTGGATAAGGAGTTTAGAAATCTCTCTTTATCAAGCTTTTTGGGCTAACTATGAATGAGATAGCTTTGTTTAGTTTGCTTCGTTGTGTTGTTGTATCAACGTATCTCATCATATCTTCTCCAGTCTTCCAAGGATGCTATTTATAGCTGGATTGGATAATCTATCCATTGAATCATAATAGACTATCCGTTGCATTTGCTGGCTTCAATTTTGAATGAAGATTGTGATTTGAAGATTCTTTGTTGAAGTGGGTGTTTGGACGTACCCAATTGTTGAGAAAGGATTCCTATTTCCACAGAATCCGTCTTCTAGCTGTTGTTCAAGAATTCAAGACTGTAGCACTTTACTCTGTTTGTCCTCTAGTGCTTGTTTAGGAATTCTGGGCAGGCTCTTTAATTTTAGAGGTCCAGACTTTGTCTTCGAGTAATTTGTTCTTGAATCAGCATAATTATCTTCAATCTAGCCGTTGAAAATCAAGGGATTGATTTTTCCTTACCAACGAGTAGAATTTCTTCATTCAAGACTTAGATAATTTTTCCAAGTCTTTTCTCACTTGTCCGCTTTCTGAGAATTCCGGTCTTCAATGAGTCTTCCGATTCTTAGCTGACAAATCCGGAGGAGTCATTCTCAGACTTCCGGGTGAGAAAGAGATCCGCGCTAGTCTTCCGATTTGGATGACTTAGCCTTTAGCGGGTTGTAGCGAGACATCTGGTTCTTATGTAGTCTTCCGAATCTGAGGATTTTCATCTGATTGAGAAATCCTTACTTGTCTCTGACATTTCCGATCAAGATATCCAATTTTCATATCACTGAATTTGATTAAGTCTTCAGGCATCAAAACGCTTAAAGAAATATCACAACTTTATTGGAAATCTCAAGAACTCGGTTTTGACAATATTTCTAAAAAGAAAAATTACATTGAATATTGGGGGAGACCTAAAGTCCCTATTACATTCTAAATACATCATCATCAAAATCTATAATATTTTTCCCAACAATTTCCCCCTTTTTGATGATGACGAATAAGTGTTTAAGAGTTCCGGTCGCTGTACTGAGAACTAATTTTATAACTTTCTTTTAGTTTATCATAATATACAGCTTGTTAACAAAAACTCTTAAACAGATACAATTCAAATTACAACAATTTCCTAAACCAAGTCTTGTCTTGAGATTTTGTGATATCTTCCGCCATTGACCGTTTTCAGCTTCAGCAGATTCTGCTTGGCAGAGCGGTTGGCGTTGCGTTTGATAGATCTTTATTATCCAAAGTGGATAACCAAGATCTAGGAAGCAACACATCTCTCAAAAAGCAAAAAACAAGAACAAAAAAAATGAAAGAAGAAAACAAAAAAAATTTGAAAAGAAAATTGATTGTGAAAAAGATAAAAAAAATAAAATAAGGTTTTTAAAGATGAAGGCAACAAAAAAAAAATTAAAAGAAATTTTGAAAAAGAATTTTAGAAAAATTTTTTTGAAAAACTCCTTGAGAGAAGGGAGCAGAGGCAGCACACAAAAAAAAACTTGTAAGAAGAGTGGGGCGACTGCTCAAAAAAAAGATTTAGAAAAAGTAAAGAAAGGAAAGGGGAGGGGAAAGAGATCAAGGTAAAAATAAAAAGAAAAATGGAGAGAGTGTTGTTCCAGAGAAAGTGTATGGTATAATCCTGAAAAATACGAGAATTACACCATAAACTTTCTCTACTGCCGAGAATTGCACCATAAACTTTGAATTACTTTCCTTCTCACTAGGCTTTTCTCCATTGCCGTCTATGAGGGTGAGAAAGAAAAATTTCTCCATTGAGGATATTTTCTTGGTGTTTTTCTCAGACAGTGAGCTTGAAGACTTTCATATTTAGAGAGTTGTTTGTGATGGAAATGGATNAGTGTATGGTATAATCCTGAAAAATACGAGAATTACACCATAAACTTTCTCTACTGCCGAGAATTGCACCATAAACTTTGAATTACTTTCCTTCTCACTAGGCTTTTCTCCATTGCCGTCTATGAGGGTGAGAAAGAAAAATTTCTCCATTGAGGATATTTTCTTGGTGTTTTTCTCAGACAGTGAGCTTGAAGACTTTCATATTTAGAGAGTTGTTTGTGATGGAAATGGATTGGAATGTCTTGATTTAAATAGGGGAGGAGGAGGTTCACGGGTTCCATTAAGTGAGTAGTTGGAACGGTGAGAGTAAAGGAGTTTCAACTTCCAAGAAGTTGAAAAGTAAAAGGAATCTTTTACCAGTTACCAATGAATTGAAACTGTTCCAATTAGAAAATCAGTTTCGTTTGGTTTGAGAAACGTAACTGTTTTAGTTTGGCTAAGCCCAAAAGAGTGGCCCAAAAATAAAAGAAAGCTATGTACTAAAGGGAAATTATTCCTATTGGGTTCTCAAGGCCCAAAATAAGACTATCATTTTTCATTCCCTATAGTTCTAATTTCTACTTAGGACGAGATAGTACCAAAACAAATATGAATTTTATTTTTAAAAGAAAAGTTGTACTATTTTTCCAAAGTCCTGTACATTATAAAAATCCTAAGGACCAGTACTTTTAGAGCTAGTTGGAAATGAATTAAGGATTAAAGCTTAGTTTAAGAAGGCAGATTTTGTAGAGTACCTGAATCGGAGATTTCCAATTTTAGTACCAAAACTGAGGTATCCGTCTTCCATTGCTTAGAGCTCATCAATAATTCATAGCCAAAAACAATTATTAGCCAAAACTAGTTAAGTTCCCCTTGAATTACATTCCCCCTGAATGTATGCGCTTCAGAAAAATAATTAAGACAAAATCATACTTGAGATACGCATAATCAAGCATAATAAGCGCAATTAAGAAAATTGTTGAAGCAATGTTGCAATGTTTAAACTAATCAAGCAATGTTTAACCAGGAAGGTGTTTTCATCAAAACAAATTAGTGTTTTCACATACTTTCCCCTGGTTTGATGAAAAGAACCTTCAATTCCTTTTGCGTTTTGAAGATCCGGCAACCTCACTGATGCCCTGCATGTTCCCACACAGTTCTTTGATGCGCCTTAAATTTTCATGCCTTTCCTCTAATTGAGCAGCATCTGAGAAGTGGTCAACAACTGCACCTATAAACTCTGTTCCATCCAGTCCTGAGCTGGATAGGTGCTGTGCTGAGTTTTCCGGATTTCTTTGTTGTGCTTCAAGGATCAGATTAGTCATGTTCAGATGAGAAGGGATATAAGATGCTTCTCCTTCTTTGACTGCAATAGGGAGCTGTGGTATTGGAGATGGATTGTGTTGTTGGAGAATCACTTCCATCTTGCGGTTCCCAGAATGTGCACCAATAAGTCTGAACAGCTTGTATGCTTCCTTTTGATTGTTAATGATCACCTTCAAGTAGTCTTTGATTACTACCTGATTTGCTGAAGCTACTGCTAGGGCGGATCTGATGTCCATTTGAAGAAGGGACATCTGTTTTTGTAGACCAACTGTGACACTCGCTATTTGCTCTTTGACTTTGTTGAATTCTTTGAATTGAAGTTGACTATCAGAAGTATATATTTCCATAGTGTTGCTCACAGTGTTACTCAATAGAGAGATGATCTCTAGAGTCTTGTCTACTGATTTACCTATCTCCTTTAGATCTGCGGTGTGTTTCTCTTCTGATTTCTCTAGCAGTTGAGTGTACTTGGCTTCCATTTGCTCTATCTCTTGCCTAAAGGAGGCATGTTGAGATGCTAGGGCTGATTCAATCAGCCCTTGGACCTTCTTTGTCCAGATTTCCGGTATCTCATCCGGAAGGGTAGGAGTGGAAGAGCTATGAAAATGGAAGTTGGTTACCTGATGAGAAGATGGTGTTTTTTGGAAGAGTTGCATAGGAAGAGATTCAGCATCTTCTTGTACATCTTCTTCATCAGTGACCTTCAGTGTTCTTTCAGATTCACCTTCTGCTTCATCAAGCGCAAAATTTGATATATCCCTAGAGAGGGAGTCTCTTTCTTCATCTGCATTCTGTTCTTCAAAAATGGCTACTAGAGTTTGACAGACCTCCACTTCTTCCATTTGATTTTCCTTTTCAGCTTCTCCAGAGTTCCTTTGCACTTCAACAGCTTGCTCTATTGTTTCTGGAAGAGCTGACTGTTCTGAAGTTTTTGCTGACTTCTCCGGGATCTCAGTTTCAGTAGGATTGGAGATCTCACTAGGAGTTGTGAGAGTCTCTAAAACTTGAGATTGGATTAGTTGCTGAATTTCTTCTTCTGCTGCTGTTTCCTCGTTCTGTTCTTGTGGGGGAGAGGTTGCCTTCTCTTGAACAACTTCAGTCAGAACCATTTCAGAAGCATGTGAAGTTTCCTGAAATGCAGGTGAGGTTTCCGTTTCGAAGGCAGGTGAGGTTTCCGGAAATGTTTGGAAACCCTCAGTTGTTGCTTCCAAAGTAGCATGTGCTTCAGAAGTGAGAGCCACTTGATCTTCTATAGCTTTTGAGAAGACTGGCTTGAAGACTGCAGTGTCTTCATCATCTGCTTCACAGTCTGAAACTGGTGAGTTGGCCAGGTATTCCATATGCAGGTCTTCAGGGTTCTTTTGCCATACCTAGTAGTCATTCAAAATGTCTTCACAGTTGTGGTTGACTGGTATTCCTAAGCACTTCTTGATAATCTTCTCACTCTTCAGCTGTTGGTCCCAATCCAACAGTTGCTCTTCTGAATTTCCAACTTTCCAAGCTCTCCAATTATAGTAGAGCTGCCAGAATTTGTTGTCAGCATCATCTGTATGAGGCTGAGATGAGGGGGTTGGAAGGCTTTGGACTTGAGGAGTTTCTTCTTCAAGTTGTTGAGTACTCCGGTTTTGGGTAGAGGTTTCCTCAGCAGGCTCCTTCTCCTTCAACTCATTCGGATTGACATTTCCAGATGTTGATGGAGAGTTGATTTTCCTCTTCTTCTTCCTTTGAAGTTCTCCATGGTCAGAGACTTCTTCTTCTTCTTCCAAACATATCAAGGCAAGGTTCTGTGGTGCTTCAATGGAGGGAGACATCACTTTCTTCCTTTTGGTAGTCTTCGTCATATGGATGAGTGGGATGTTATCTGAAGAGCTTTCTTCTGCAGTGGCACTAGTACCAGCTCTGTTTTCCCCTTTTGAAGACAGATAGTATAACCAGTATCTTTCTTCATACTTCTTTCCTTTAGAAGCAATACCCATAGACTCCAAAATATGTCCAAGGTATAGTTCTTGACAGAGATATTTCTGGTTGGGCTTTCCCAAATGCTTTGAGATGGAATTAAAAAAGTGTGCAGCCCAGTTTACCTTAGTTTTGGTAATGAGAGCGTTGATGATGAAGGCTCTCTCCTGGGTGATGTCATCGGCGTGACCTCCACTTCCACACTCGAGGCAAGCGATGACCAGTTCTAAAACCAACTTGTAATCGTTGTTTAGATCTACTTTCTTCGCTGGGCCAGAAGGAACTTGCCTAGAGATTCCAATGATGTTCCAGTCCAGATATTTGACTGGAAATTTCCCAACTTCAGTTCCAGAATTGGGAAGGCGAAGCTTTTCTCCCAATTTCTTCTGCAAAAGCTTCACTTTTGTACCCCCAACAGTGGACTTGATGACTGGAAACGTCCTCTGTGGGTCCTTCTTTGAATGGGCAGTTTTGACTTCTCCATTTCTGTAGAATTCAAGAACTTCTTCCTCGAATTTGAGGCGAATCTCCATTTGAAGAAATTCGGAGAGTTCTTGAGTGGCTATCATCTCCAGATAGTTTTGAAAGAATGTCGGTGAGGAGCACTTGGCTTCTAACTTCTGGAA